AAGAGCGTCTAGACTCAAGCAGGCTCCATCTGCATGCCAGACTTAAGGGGCTGACTTGGCCCGAAGATGCTCTAGGCAGTGGGGCCAGCAGGTGGCAGAGTGGTTATGACGTTGGACTTCCTTGTAGCCAACTGTTGTTCGAGTCTTGGGCCCGGTGTCTTGAAAATCCCACCGGGTGCGTGTCTCTGACTATGGAATGCTGCCCATGCTCAGCCCGGAGTGCAGGATTTCAGGGAGCAGCCACTCAGCCTGGGGAGTGGTCAGTCACGCCCGTGAACCGGGGGCACCACTCTGGGGAAGGGCGGGAATAGAGGACGGAGGGATGAGCCATGTCGTCTTCTCTCTCAGGGTCACGTCGTGGACGGCCACAAGCTAGAAGTGAGGATCTCAGAACGAGCCACCAAGTAAGTCCGCGGCGTCCCCCTCTGTCCTCTGACACGACCCAGTGCCCCGTGTCCTTTATGCTGGCCACCCGGGAAGGTGCCTCACACCCTCCTGCACCCCTTCCGCCTGACCTTCCTCGCCAGCGAGGACTCTTCTGTACTCAGGTAGCGTGGCGTTTGCCAGGTTCAGCATGTCCGCGATGACTGGGGTGGCACCTGTCCTCGGAGCGCGCATTTAATACTAGAAGGAACAAGTGCGGGGACAGCAGCAGCCCTCTCGAGGTGGGGTGTCAATAGCCCAGGAAGAGTTGCCAACTGCTGGTTCTAAGGATGGACCAGGAAACGCTGTCAAACCGAGGCGTCTCACTCAGCGAGGCTCACTTTCTCAGAGCCGTAACACTGCCCAGAGATGGCCCCTGGTTAATGTGAAAGAGAGTTGGAGGTGTCAGGTGGGGACGGCCCAGCCGCCCGATGACCAGTATCCACCAGTAGTGGGGAGGATGTTTTAGAATTTCAGCTTTGTCCCTCCATCTCATCTGCTTGTATATCTAAATAAACACTCAAGGGGCCAGCAGGAGGTATAGTGGTTAAAGGGGTTGACTCCCAGGACCAGAAGTGGGCGTAATGGCTACATCACTGGACTCCCATGTATTCAATTGTGGTTTGAATCCCGGACCCGGTGACATAAACTCACGCCGGGTGCGTGTGCATGTGTGCCCAAGATCCCGAGAGGAGAACGGAGGAGAAGGGATTGTGGCGTGGCCACCCCCCCCCACCGGAGGGTGATTTCTCACTTTCTGTCTCTCTCTCTCTCTCTCTGTCTTTCTGACGAGCACATGCACCTTATACCAAAAACCTAAAAAAAAATAAATAAATAAAAGTGTTTGACTCCCATACGACTGACTCCAGTTCAAGTCCTGGACATGGCAGCTTAAAAACCACGCCGGGCATGTGTGCATGTGTGCCCAAAATCCCAGGAGGAGAATGGAGAAGAGGCTGCAGAGGGGCCATCCCTCTTGGGGGTGATTTCTCACTTTCCCTCTCAGTCTCTCTGTCTCTGTGAAAAGCATACATACTCTATGGCAAAAATCTTTAAAAAAAATAAGCAGTCAGGGAAGCAGCAGTTAGCGTAATGGCTATGTCACTGGACTCCCACATAGTCGATCATGGTTCGCATCCCGGACCCGGTGGCTTAAAACTCACACCAGGCGCGTGTGTGTGCGTGCCCAAGATCCCGAGAGGAGAATGGAGAAGGGATTGCGGCGTGACCATCCCCTCTGGGGGATGATTTCTCACTTTCTGTCTGGCGAGCGCACGTGCCCTATAGCAAAAAAAAAAAAAAAAAATCTCTCCAATAAAAAAAAAAAAATTAAGCAGTCAGTATGCATTCAGCAGGGCCTGACATGTCACCTGTGCCCGGTGTAAGCCAGAATTGTCACTGTCATTGTCATCTACCTACTTCAGGTATAAAGCGCCCCCACCCCCTGGGCCTGCAAGTGGTGTAGTGGTGAAGGCCCTGGACTCCCACATGGGTGATCGTGGTTCAAGCCACAGAACCAGCAGCTTGCAACTTTTATCAGATGCATGTGTGTGCGCGCCCAAAATCCCACGAGGAGGATGGAGAAGGGATTGCAGCACGGCCATCCCCCGGAGGGTGATTTCTCACTTGCTCCCTCTCCATCTGTGTCCTTTTTTCTATAAGCACACATGCCCTGTAGCAAAAACCTCTCTAAACAAACAAAAATGACTCCGCCCCTTCTAATAGTCACAGGGCTGGCTTTAGGTATTTAGTAGTTTTCAAAAAGTTGCTTAATCAGCAGATCACCTGCCAGTGGAGTCACTTGAAGTGGCTGCCTTTTTTTTTTTTTCCCTCTTCTCTTTCTTTTTCCTTTCCTTTCTTTGTTTTTAAAGCTGCTTGCGAATCCTGCTCTGTCATCGTTCACCCATCAGGGCTGTGCTGTGTCGAGCGTCCCTTAGCGAGGAGAAGACTTGCTTCAGGGCCCTTGGAAGTTGGACGGGACTCCTGAGCTGGAGTTGCGTAGAACTCCAGAGCTCAAGCCCTAATCCGGGGGCCGTGTGTCCTTGGGCCAGCGACTAGGCCTGTCAGGTCATGCGGCGTGATGACCAGAGGTGTGTGTGAAGCATTTCTCACGTGCCTCACGCACACACGAGCAGTTAGCCGGCTGTGGTGGTCAGAGTCAGCCTGAAACACGCTCGTGCTTTGTAGCGGGTGTTCCTGTCCTTCCGTTACTCCACAGGACGTTAGGGGTTGGGCCCAACTGGCGTTGCCCTGTGGATCTGCTCTCCAGGGCAGCTCTGTTTTCCAGAACCTTCTACGGTGCTGGAAACAGCCTACACCTGTGCTCTGGCGTGGTGGCCGTCTGCCGTGTGGGTCTGTGGAGGCCTTGAGATGTGGCAAAGGGCTGTACGAGGGGTCCTCAGAAGGTTCTTGGGAAATGCACGTTATGAGAAAACCACGATTACAAAACATGTCTGCGTGAAAATAAACTCGTGTTTGAATTCTGTTGTTCCATGAGCCTGTCCAAGGCCCTGTGTGTGTGTGAGCCTATCGCTACGTGACCGAGCAGCCCAAATGTGATGGCTTGGGACAGTGAACATTTTCCAGGTCACAGCTTCTGTGGTCGGGGTGTCGGAGCAGCTCAGCGGCCCTCCACCTAGGGCCACTCGGGATGTCACCATGTCACCAGGGAGGCAGTTATCTGAAGTCTGACTGGGCTGATTGTTCTGCTGCCCGGGGGCTCTCTCACAGGCCTGTGGGCCAGAGGCCTCCATTTCTCACCTCTAGGCCTCCCAGACTTCGCTTGAGTTTCCTAGGGCATGGTGGCGGGTTCATGACTCCTCTCCTGAGTAACACGCCATCCCTTTGGCTCTACCCGATGGGTCACACAGACCGACCCTGACAGTGTGTGGAGGGGGTTGCACAGGGACGTAGAGACCATGAGACGGGGTCCTTGGGGACTGTCTCTGAGGCCCACTACCAAGCAACTGAGAAAGAGGATTTTTAATTTTAAGTAATTTTTTAAAAGAGGTTTTTGCCTTTTGTCCTCAGGGGGTGGGAGGTGGATCGGGGGACAGTGAGAAGGAAAATGAGAAGTCACCCCCCCAGGGGGGTTGGCCACACTGTAATCTCTTCTCCATCTTCCTCCTGGGATCTTGGACACGCAGATGTATGTGCCCAGCGTGAGTTTCAAGCCACCAGGTCTGGGACTTGAACTGCAGTCGGCCATGTGGGAGTCCAGTGGTAACCACTATGCCACCTGCTGGTCCCAGTTTTGTGTTATTTTAATTTATTTCACTAGCCATGTACCTGGTAACTACTGTTGTGGACAGTATAGCCTAAGAATGATGAGAAACCCTGACTATGTCTTGGGGCCACCAGGTGGCGTGATGGTTAAGGGCACTGGACTCCCACATGGCCGACCACAGTTCGAGTTCTGGACCTGGAGCTTGCTTTCTCACCTCCCTTCTCTCCCTGTCTCTGCTCAAGTTAAATAATAATAATAATAAAATGAACGAAATAATTATAGAAAACATTAACTATGTCTTAAATGAGGGGACTTCAGAAAGTTTACGGAGAATGTGCATTATAAGAAAACCACGCTGGATTTCAAAGCAGATTGTACCAAAACAATCTCATACACTAATCCCATTTTTCCACCGAGGAAGTCCCCGCATACACTGGACAGTGATGCTTGCTGGGGAGAGAAATAAAGCCGACCCAGTGTGTGTGCGTCGGGGTCTGTTTTAGCAGAGAGAGTTAGGGAAGGCCCCCGAGGAGGTGGTGTGGATGGGCATGAAGGAAGCCGGTCACAGCCAACCCCACTGTCACGAGAGCTGCCGTTTGCTGAGTGTTCACCTCGTGTTGGTTCCAGCGCGAGGGCCTCTCACCAAGTCCTCACGGTCTCACGAGGTTGGCACCCTTATTCTCATTTTGCATTTGAGGAGCCGAGAGGCCCAGTACTTGCCCCAAACCACGCAGATTGGAAGTGACCAGCCTGGCATTTAAAGCTCGTTAGCTCACGACCTGGTGGAGGAAGGTTGCCCTGGGAAAACAGGAGCTTCGGGGGTGGCCGTGAGCCCCAGGCTGTGGCCGCCTCTCTCACCACCAGGCCCACCTCCGTGGTTCGGCCCCTGCGTGGTCCTCTGCCGGGTAGTGGTGACGTGTCTCTCATGAGACATTTAGCGAGCAGCTGGGGTGTTTCTGTGTACCGGGAGAGACAGGGACAGCGGAGATTGGGTTTGGTGAGGGAGCAGCTGCACCCTGTCAGGGTTCCTTCCAGAAGCCCGTGGTGTCCCTGAACGCTTGCTGTCAGAGGGAGGGCAGCCACGATCCAAGGAGGATGACAGCCGGACACCTCCCGCTGCTCTGGGGGAACATGCTTACAGCGCGGTCGCCCTGGGAGACCACCTGCCTCCCTTCCGTCTCGGGGAAACACGCACCTCGATTCCCTCACCCAGATGCGAGCACTGGGCTGAACGGGGAGGCTGTGGGGGTCAGTGTAGGGCGGAAGCTGCTGACACCCATGTAACCAGAACCCCTCCCCTCTGCCTTGCAGGCCGGCCATAACATCCGCTCGGAAGAAACAAGTTTCGCGAAAGCAGACAACCTCCAAGATCCTGGTGCGGAACATCCCCTTCCAGGCCGACAGCCGGGAGATCCGCGAGCTCTTCAGGTGAGATGTGCGTTCGGGCCCAGCGACCGGAGCGTGGCTGGGGAGCCTGCCGGAGTTGGGCAGGGCGGCCTCGGGCCGTGCAGTGGTCTTTCAGAGGTCAGCTTTTAGCCGCTGTTGATTAATCTGTCTTAGTCTCAGATGCTGCTCCCCGGAGCGTTGTCCAGAAAAAGAGCTGAAACAGAGCCAGCTGTGGCGTGGAGGTTAGGGAGGCTGGATCCCTCTCAGCCAAGTGTGCGGTTTGAGCTCTGGGCCCGGCAGCTTGAGAAATATGCCGGGTGCCTGTGTGTGCGTGCCTTAATCCCAAGGGGAGGGAGGCATGGAGGAGAAGGGAATGAGGCTCGCCCACACTCCATGAGGGGTACTTTCACCCCTCCACCCCCTCTTTTCCCAGCTAGCGAATGTGCCCACTGGCAGTTTGTTGTTTTAAATGCTGAGTCAGGAACCAGCAGGTGGCATAGTGGTTACGTCGCTGGATTCCCACGTAGCCAACTGTGGTTTGAGTCTCGGACTCGGCAGCTTGAAACTCACACCAGGCACATGTACCTGTGTGCATGCCTCCCCCCCCCCCCACTGGCAGTTTGTTGTTTTAAATGCTGAGTCAGGAACCAGCAGGTGGCATAGTGGTTACGTCGCTGGATTCCCACGTAGCCAACTGTGGTTTGAGTCTCGGACTCGGCAGCTTGAAACTCACACCAGGCACATGTACGTGTGTGCATGCTCCCCACCCCCACCCCCCCAAAAAAAAATGCTGAAACAGAAGAAAGGGCAAAAGAGGGGGTCTGACTTCTGTCTCCGTCCATCTTTGGCCAGGAGGGGCAGGAGCCCCAGGCGCTAAAACCAAGCTCTGCCTGTGGTCTGCGTTAAATTCCCTCCAACTCACCCTCTGGTTTCCGCCCGCGGTCTTCGCCCTCAGGGGTGTGCTAGCATCAGCAGGCCACCCTCACCAGCCTTTGCTCAGACTTCACCCCAGAGGGGAGGAGTCCGCCGGTCAGGGAGTGGGAGGGGACGGGGCAGGAGTAGACATTGGCATTTTGACTCAAGTTCCCCAGGAGATCCTAGACTCCAGCCAGGGTTGGGGACCACTCTCTGTGGGAAGCCCCTTTAGAAAGGAAGGTGAAGATTCCATAAACCGAATACGGCTCTCGGCACCAACGTGCACAGGGGCCAGGACCCAGCTCTCACCGGCCAGGCAGGAGGGCCTCAGCTCTCCCACTCCGACAGGGGCCGGTTCAGTAAGACCAGTTCTCCCGGTGGCTCGAAAGAGAAACCAGCACTCTGGATTCTCAGGGGGAAGTCGTCAGCAATTAATTCACTCTTTATAAACAAACGCTGCGCAGGGACAAAGCCTGCCCTGCCCCGGGCCACTGGCGTGCAATCCCCGAGCCAGCGCGTTACAATATTTGGTTTCTCAGATTAGTGAGGTCTCACCCAGCACCAGGCCCTGAATAAAAGAAACATTTCTGTAAGAGAGAAAAATGCTCAAAGCTCAGACACGCCTAAGGCATGTGCTTGGTGGTACAGGGAGGCCGTCCAGCCCTGAAAACGTATTAGTAGTGAAGTCGGGCCCAGCCAGGCAGACCATCCAGGTGCTCCTGGGACCTCAGGGTGCAGGGACCCACCATGCCAGGGCCTGCATGTGGGTGTGCACTTAGGGTGCTGCGTGGTAGGCCTCGTTTATGGAACCCGTGTTCCTTGAGTTCTGGCGTGAAGCTGAGCAGAGGGAAACCCCTGCGAGTCACCGGCCAGCATTTTCCAAGGTACCCTTTGGATACAAAGTGAGTTCTGTGTTTAGAAATGAGCAAGAATTGTCTTTGCAGGAAACCTACCCCGTTCGCCCTACCCCACTCTGGTTTCAGGATCGGGAGGCTGTGTGGGAAATGCACTTCAAACCCCTGCCTTTTTGTCCGCCGCCCACAACCACTCGCTGGTGAGCAGGTCGTCAGCAGCCGTGGTTAGGCAGGAGCCGAGGTACATGCACCCCTGCTGCCGTCTGCAGGGTGGCGGGGTCCCGGCCGCGATTTCCAATTCTCCTGCGTGGTAGGAACAGCCTGGAGAGATGGGGGGTCAGCACCTGGGGCGGGGGGGTGTCTTCCGCTTCCCCACACCGGGTAGATTAGTCCAGAGGGGGCATCGTGTTACTTGGGAAGCACACATCATAGCCTCCCGCGTGTGAATGCTTGTTTCAAGTCGCTTCCGCTTTTTAAAAAGAGTCCAATTTAAGAAGTGCCAGATCAGAACGGGCTCGCGAGGACAGCGCGCGTCGATCAGGAGGTCACATCCCGCGGAGTGACAGTCCCGCCCGGTCCCGCGGTGTGTTTTGGATGACACTTATCCGAGGAAACAAAAGACCACGAGGGAAGGGAAAGCGCTTTGTTTGATCTGGCGTATTATATTTATTTTTAGAAGACAGGGAATTAGTGTCCGCGGAACATAATTACCGGTGGTGTCTCTTCTCCCCGCCATTGTTCTGACGGTTTTCGTAAACCCTGCAACCCTGCCCGGAGGACTCTCGCTGCTTTTGTTGTTCACAGCGGTTGGCAGTTCCGAAGGGCGGACAGCAGGGGTCGCTGGGAGCCTTCTCGGGGACACGGAGTTTGTCCAGGGAAGCACCAGCCGGGTTTCAGACAAAGCCACCGGCCCGCAAAGGTCATTCTCCAGAGGAAGATTTGGGGTGTCAGGGACCAGTCTGGGTCTTGCTGGCTCGCTGGCCCTATCAGGGGTAGTAGGAATCACAAATCCCTTGATGTCGTGCCCTGGGCTTGGGTCTGCGCTGCCTGCCTTCTGGCAGTGTCGTCTCAAAGCCACAGGGAGCCCTGCGGGGGAAGGACGCTGTTTTCTCTGACTCCCGGAAGGAAGCAGCAGACTTGGGGAGGCTGACGGACGTGTCCTCCCCAGGGCCACATGGACAAGCTGGCCTTTGGATTTCAGTCCCTGTGACCCAGAGCCCTGCCTCAGGACCGCGCTTCTCTGCTTCCTCTGATGTAGTCATCGGGTCTGGAAGGGGCTGTCATCCCCGGTCAGTTCATGAGACCACGGTCCCACAGTGAGTGTGTCGTTTGCACCGGGCACACAGCCTTCTCCAGAGAGAGCCCAGCCCCTCTCAAGGGTCTGCCTGGGGAGGGCCGGGGAGGAAGCCAATAGTGGAAGCTGGGGGGCAGGTGTACAGGCAAGGGCGAGGGGGCAGAGAGAAGGCCAGGTGCCTTAGGTGCCCAGAGGGCACAGCCACTCACGCTCCCGCTGCCCCCCTGGGCTCTGTGTGGGAGAGGGTGTGGGCATGGCAGCTGCCCAACCTGAGACAGCATGCCCGGGCCCTTCCCAGACACCAGTAACTGTCCCCTCAGGCCTCACTGCACCAGCCCAACCCTCGCAGCGACCCAACAGGTGTCAGGAGGCACCACAGATGGGGCCAGCAGGTGGCATAGTGGTTAAGGCACTGGACTCGCACATGGACGACTGTGGTTCAAGTCCCAGACCTGGCAGCTTGAAAATCATACCGGGTGCCTGTGCGTGCGTGCCCAAAATCTCAAAAGCAGAATGGAGGAGGAGGGATTGCAGCGTGGCCATCCTCCCCAGGAGGAGATTTCTCACTTTCCCTCTCTCTCTCTTGCAAGTGCACATGCTCTGTAGCAAAAACCTAAAACAAAAGAGACAGACACCGAGGGTCCACGCTCCCACAGAACCATCCTCTGGAACAACTCAAAGACCAGTCTTGAAAACCTCAGAGAGGTGACCAGCAGCTGGCGTAATGGCTATGTCGCTGGACTCCCACGTAGTCGACCGCGGTTCGAGTCCTGGACCCGGTGGCTTAAAACTCACACCGGGCGCATGTGCGTGCGTGCCCAAATCCCGAGAGAATAGAGAAGGGAATGCAGCATGGCCATCCCCTGTAGGGGGTGATTTCTCACTTTCTGTCTCTCTGGCAAGCAGCACACATGCCCTATAACAAAAACCTCTCCAACAACAACAAAAAAAAGAAGCTCAGGGAGTAGGACTGGTCCACATGAAAGGAACCGTATACCACACGGCTGACTGGATCGAATCCCAGCTCAGCAGCTGGAAGAACACACTGGTTACGTGTTTGTGCCCAAATCCTGACAGGGTGGTAGAATGGAGGAGAAGGAGTGGTGGCAAGACCGCGCCCCATTGGGGGTTGCTCTCTCTCCTTTTCTCTGGAGAGTTCATGTGCCCGTGACAGTTACCAAAAAAAGGAAGGAAGGAAAAAAAAAGGAAAGAAAAGGGAAGGAAGAAAAGACAAGAACAAAAGATTCAAGCAGACCCAGCGGTGCGTTGGGAGGCACTGGGTCCCGCCCTGCCCTGCTGTGTGTTCTCTGGGCCTCAGCTCGCCCTGGTGTAGGACAGTAGGGATGCTCAGCATGACCCGCCCCATGGCCTGCGGGCCGATGCGCTTCCGGGCACCTCAGCCCCGTGGAACGCCGCTCGTTCGTGCATCCCAGTGAAGACAGCAGCTCTGGGGCCCGAGTCCACTCCCACCCCCTGCGCCTTGCCCCAACGTCAGGGCTGTCTGGCAGGGCCAGGGGACATGATGGGAGAGTTGCTTTCTCTTTTCACTCCAGTTGGTTTTGGTGGGTTTTTTGTGGATTTTTTTCTGTGGCTTTCTTCCCCAGAGGTGCGAACCCCCTGCTGGAGTGTGAATGAGCCAGCTCACAACAGGTGTCTGGAGGCCATAACTGCTGGGCTTGTGGCTCCTGTCCCCTCCACACCTCTTGCACCTGCTCCGTGGTCAGAGTCTGTCCCCGCCGTTCTTGTCCTCCTGGCCTCCTCATTTCCTCTCGCAGTGGCCGTGACCATGGAGGGAGGGCTGAGACGGCTTACTCACACACACTCCATGCCCTCCCCCTTCTCCTCCTCACCCAAGCCTGGGGTCACTGCCCAATTCACCCCTGATTGTCAGGGGGTGCTTTTTCAGGAGCTGCGTGCCCCTTCGTCTGCAGAGACTCCAGGCAGGATGAGGAGGACGCCCTGCTCTCCAGACTCTCCGG